CACTGCCTTGCGGGCGCTTTGCCGCACTACTGCCTCAAAACCACGGCGTCGTAACGATTGCCGGCCCAGACGACGCACGCGTGCGTAGCCGGCCTCCAAGACGGCTCAGATGGCCCCAAGATGCCTCCAAGACGAGCCAAGATGCACTCAAGACAGGCTCAGATGGCATCAAGATGGTCCAAGACGGCCCCAGGGACCTCCAAGAGGCCTCCAAGACGGCCCAAGAGGCCTCCAAGAGGTCCTCCACGAGGGCCCGAAGAGGCCAAAATCTGTTGTTTTCCTATGGTTTTTGAAGGATTTTGGCATTTGCTTCCTTTCGATTTTCCGACGGCCCAAGACGGCCCAAGAGGCCCCCAAGATCGCCCCCAGAGCGCCCAAGAGGCCTCCAAGATGGCCTCAGGACGGCCCAAGAGGCCCCCAAGACGGCCCCAAGAGGGCACAAAGACGACCCAAGAGGCCTCCAAGATGCCCAAGATGGCCTCCAAGACGGCCCGGGAGCACCCCAAGAGGGCCCCAAGTCGGCCCAGAGAGGCCCCCCAAACGGCTTCCGACGGCGTCAGACGGGCCAGGAGCCCACCAACATGGCCGAAGTCGGCTCGAAGCTGGCCCAAGAGGCCTCCAAGATGGCCTCCAGGAAAGTCAGAAGAGGCCCAAACCATTGGTTTCCCGGAGGTTTTAGAAGGATTTTGACATTTGCTTCTTTTCGGCCTTCCGACGGCCCGAGACGGCCCAAGAGCCCCCCAAGATCGCTCCAAGATCGCCCAAGAGGCCTCCATGATGGCCCCAGAACGGCCCAAGAGGCCCCCAAGACGGCCCCAACAGGCCCCCCAAACGGCCCAGGAGGCCTTTGAGACGCCCAAGATGGCCTCTAAGACGGCCCTGGAGCATTCCAAGAGGGCCCCAAGCCGGCCCAGAGAGGGCCCCCAAACGGCTTCCGACGGCGTCAGACGGGCCAGGAGCCCACCAAGACGGCCCAGGATGGCCCTAAAATATCCCAAGACGGCTCAAGAGGCCTCCGAGAGGGCCTCCAGGAAGGCCCGAAAAGGCCCAAATCATTGATTTCCCATGAATTTTGTGTTGAAGGATTGTGGCATTTGTTGTTATTCTGTCTTCCGACGGCCCGAGACGGCCCAAGAGCCCCGATCGCCCAAGAGGCCTCCAAGATGGCCCCGGAACGGCCCAAGAGGCCCCCAAGACGGCCCTAAGAGGCCCCCAAAAAGGCCCCAAGACGCCTCCAAGACGCTCAAAATGGCCTCCCCAAGTCGGCCCAGAGAGGCCCCCAAGACGGCTTCCGACGGCGTCAGACGGGCCAGGAACCCACCAAGACGGCCAAGGAGGCCCCCGAAAAGCCCCCAAAGGTCCACGAGGCTCCCAGGAAACTCCCAGGAGGCCCCAAGAGTGTCCCCAGAGGCTCCCAAGATGCCCCCTCCTCCTCCCTCTTCCTCCTCCTCATCCATCCCTTCTCCTTATGAATAACTCCTCCCTGTCTCAGTCCCAGGCGTGACTGTAGGCCGGGCCGGGCGTTTCGCCTGAGACTTCCTTGCAATTTAGGATCCCAAGCTTCAAATTTGCAACAGTTACACGGATGGAGGGAGGGTGGTTTTCAAATTGTGGCTCTCGCCTTAGCGCCACGCGCTTTCGTTTTCGAAATTTCCAATAATTACAAGGATAGAGGGCGGGTGGTTTTCAAAATGTGGCTCTCGCCTTAGCGCCGCGCACGTTCGTCTTCGAAATTTCCAACAGTTACGAGGATGGGGGCCGGGTCGTTTTCAAAATGTGGCTCTCGCCTTAGCGCCGCGCACATTCGTTTTCGAAATTTCCAACAATTACAAGGATGAAGGCCGGTTCCTTTTCAAAATGTGGCTCTCGCCTTAGCGCCGCGCACATTCGTCTTCGAAATTTCCAACAGCTTCAAGGATCGAGGCCGGTTCCTTTTCAAAATGTGGCTCTCGCTTCAGCGCCGCGCACATTCGTCTTCGACATTGCAACAGATACACGGATCGAGGCCGGTTCCTTTTCACACTGTGGCTCTCGCCTGAGCGCCGCGCACACTCGTCTTCTAAATTGCCAACAGTTACACGGATCGAGGCTGGCACCCTTTCAAAATGTGGTCCTCGCCTTAGCGCCGCGCACATTCGTTTTCGAACTTTCGAGCAATTCCATGGATCGAAGCCAGTTCCTGTTCAAAAAAAAGTTCTTACGTTAGCGCCGCGCTCCTGTTAAGATCGTCCCTGAGCTTGTTTCGCGACTCCCTGTCAAATGATACCACGCGGCCAGCGCTCGACATGTCTCCTCGCGCGCGAGGGCTCCAAGACCGCCCTGGGTCCGAAAGACGGCCCAAGGGCACCGAAGAGGGCCCCCAGAGGGGTCCAAGAGGGGCCCAAGAGGAGGGGACACGAACGGACATTTCGAACCCCCCGCCCAGGCTATTGCAATTGTCGCCCAATTGGATGCCCGCTCCGACCAGGGGGCGGCGGGCGAGACAGGAGGCCCCTGCGTGCGGAGGAATAGTAGGTCGCGGGGCTTTCTCGCGCTCATCATTCCAATCGATCACGTCAAGCAAAAAGCGCGTCGGCGTCGCCCGGTCATTCAGTCTGACCGAGCTCGCTGCCGCTCGCGCCTGCTTGCGTGCCGGACATCGTGCTGGCGCCCTCCGATCCGTGCGGATATTCAGATCCGTGCGCCAAGTCATCCTCGGCGAACTCGGCGGCCTCGCGGGCGAGCTCCCGGTCCAGGTCCTCCAAGGCAGACGGGTAATCTTCGTCCATGTGGTCTTCGTCGTCCGACGACGCCGAATCGATCCCGCGCTCAACCTGCTCGCCCTCGCGGCGCGGCCCTACAGGCAACCAATCTGAGGCTCGGATCCTGCCGCACAGCCGCGCCCCCAATCTCGAGTGCGCCCTGGATGCCCCGACGTACCCGCACCCCTGGTCGGGGGGGTACGACCGTGGCGTGTTAACACCAAGAACCTGATTCAAGATGTCTGGGTTGAGGATTTTCTTGGCCTTCTCGTCCTTGATCCACAGACACGCCGCCTCGAGGACCTCCGCCGTCCTCGAGATGCCGATTCCCCGGCGCTCTGGGGTCTCATCCGCCAGCTCCGTGAAGTACTGCACCTTTTTGTTGCCTTGGCTGGCCCGCTTCCACAATTCCTCCGTGGAGGCGCGGTCCAACCCGGACGCGGCGTGCGGGTTGAACACCTGTGCCGCCACACATGGTCGTACCTCCGCAGCATCTGCCGTTTTGGCTTCACCCCGTCGCCGGCAGCGACGCGCTTCTTGTCATTGCCGGCGTCGGCGGCAGTGGCGAACTTGGAAGAGCCCGGCGGAGTCAGCCATGGCCCTGGAGGAGCTCGCGTGGTAGCGTGCAGGGGCGGGTTCAGCTGGGGCCAAACGCTACCCAAGTTCTGCCAGGGTTCACGTGTAAGTACTTATGAGGAGGGAACATGGGACGGGCACTACTAATCTTCAGTTCACTCTGGTCCTCCTCCTCCTTCTCCTCCTCCTCCTCCTCCTCCCCCTCCTCCGCCGCCTCCTCTTGATCTTCCCCGCCATCCTCTCCCAAGTGTTCCCCGAAGGGTTTCCACAACAGTTGGGGGAACACATGGCCCGATACCTTGGCAGAGCTTTTGCCACAGCGCTCGTCCACATGGGCAATTCTAGAAGGCGGGGGGCGGCGGTAATTCGCCGCAGGCGTCTTCGATAACGCCCACGTTTCAAAATATGCGCTGTATCCGCCCCCGCATGCGGTTCCCAGATGCGCCAAGGCAGCGCCGAGACGCACCGACACGAATTTGTTATATCCCATTCTGAAAGAGAGGGGGCCGGCGGCAGGGGCGAAGCCTTAAGGATAAACTAGGAGGAGGAGGAGGAGGAGGAGGAGGAGAAAGATCGAGGCTCGAGGCTCGAGGCTCAAACTTGTTCATTATATCGGGTCTTTAGGGGGCGCTCAGGAACCTCAAGTTTTCCATGTACATGCTAGGGTCACCTCCTGCTCCTCCTACCTCCTCTTGCCTCCTTCTCATCATATGTTTCACCCCCCACGTTGTTATCGAACCTCCCTCCGCTCCCTTACAAGATTCCTCCTCCTCCTCCTCCTCATCTTCCTCCCCTTCTTCTATTCCCCCTCCTCGTCATCTTCTGCCTCCTCCGCCTCCTCCTCCTTCTCCTTCTCCTTCTCCTCCTCCTCCTCCTCATCATCATCATCACAATCAGAATCATCATCATCATTATCCGCGTCCCCCTCATCATGCTCCGCATCCCCCTCCTCCGCTCCCAGTCGCCCCTCCTAGGAAACTTCACCGAAACCGTAACCGTTCTGTCAGCACAAGTCATTTCCCCCTGCTGCGCCACGTACAAATTACGTTCGACCCCTTTGTCATGCACGTTCGTTACAACCACTTATGACAATGCCTGGCCTTGCCTGTGCAACTGACCGTAACAAACATCGACATGGGTACTGGGCACCACCTTGAGGGTGGGGGTCCCAGTTCACCCGTACGGCGAGATCTTCTGTAGAAGTGGCGTCGGTTCCTCGTCGTCGCCGTCGTCGTCGTCGTCGTCGTCGTCGTCGTCGTCGTCATGGTCGTCGTCGTCGTCCTCTTCCTCCCTTTCCTCCTCCTCCCCCTCCTCATCCTCCTCCTCCTTCTGCTCCTCCTGCTCCTCCTCCTCTGAACAACGACGACGGCGCGCAGCAGCGCGGGGGGGGGGGGAGGAAGGGCGGAGACAGGAAGATAACGAGCTATGTGCGCTCGCGCCAGACCTCCTACCCCTGCCACGCATGCCTTCCCGCTGCGCCCAAGTTTTCTCTATCCGCCGACGGGGGGTCCCAACATGTCCCCATGGTTGCCGTCGTCCTCCTCCTCATCCGCCTCATCCTCCTCCTTCTCCTCCTCTCCGCCCCCCCTCCGCCTCCCCTTCCCTCCTCCTCCTCATCCTCCAACCTGCTGCTGTTCCTCCTCTGGGCCAGACTGGGGAGGCAGTTTGCGCGCCGTGGCCCGCCTGCGTCTCCTCGGCCTCGTAGGCGCTGTCGTAGCTCCGCTGCGCCACCTGTCCGCCGTCGGGTTCCCTCCCAGCGTTCCCCTCGACACCTATCCCTCGACCTCCCAACCCTGCTCCTCGCCCCCTCCTCCTCCTCCTCCTCCTCCTCCTCCTCCTCCTCCTTCGCCTCCTCCTCCTCCTCCTCCTCCTCCTCCTCCTGTTTCATTCCCATTCCTTCTAAATAACCCCTCACTGTCGCACCCCCAAACTTGTGGGTAAAGCGGGCTGGGCGTTTTGCCTGAGACTTCCTCACCAATTATGATCCTGAGGCATGACTGTTGCAACAGCTTCACGGATTGAGGGCAGGCCGTTTGCAAAATGCGGCTCTCGCCTTTAGCGCCGCGCGAGTTCATGTCTACATGATTTGCAACAACTCCGCGGATAGAGGGCGGACCGTTTTCAACATGTGCATCTCGCATTAGCGCCTCGCGCATTCGTCTTGAACGTTTGTATCAGCTTCAAGCATGGAGGGCGGGCCGTTTTCAAACTGTGGCTCTCGCCTCCGCGCCACGCACATTCGTTTTTTTTAAGTTTGCAGCAGCTTCGCGGATGAAGGGAGTTCGTTTTCAAACTTCGCCTTTCGCCTCAACGCCGCGCGCATTCGTCTTTCAAAGTTTGCAACCGTTTCAAGGATTGGCACGGTTGCGTTCCCAGGAATGGCTTTCTGGTCAGATTTTGGATGGTCAGAACGCAACAGTCATGTTTTGATTCGCGGTGTTGAAGTTTCCAGGAATGGTGTCCTGACAAGGCTTAACATTGCCCAGACGCAGCAATCACGCTGATTCGCGACGCTGAAATCCCAGTGATAGTTGCTTGCGCGATTGAAGATTCCCAGACGTTTTTTCCAATGGGGCATTTCCCGCAATGAAAACACATTCTTGTAGGGCCCCTATGGAAAAAGGAATTCGGAGAGAGGGTTTATTGCAGAACCGCTGGTGCGTCTTAGGTTGACGCCCCTCCTCTTCATCCTCCTCCTCCTCTTCCTCCCCCTCCTCCTCCTCCTTCGCCTCCTCCTCCTCCTCCCTGCCTCCCTGCCTTCCTGCCTCCTCCTCCTCCCCGCCTCCCTTCCTGGATCTCCCATACCTCCCATCCCTCCCTCTCCCGTCCCTATGCCCCCTCTCCCTCCCTCCCTCGACCTACCCTTGGCCTCCCCTCGACCTCCCCTCCCTCGCATCTCCTCCTCCAGCTCATGCCCCGCCGTCGTCTCCCCCACTTCCCTCCCATTTCACGTGAGGGGGCGGGGTCCTGAGGGAGACGGGTGAAGATATCCTGCGGCCGGGGGCTTTCCCCAGAGCCAATGCTTCAGCCCGTTCCATTGTTCGACGGCCCCAACTCCCGAGAAGGGCCTCCAAGATACCGAACTTGCCAACCAAAAAACAATCAAACAACAAGAAACTCGGAACCCGCTTCCCTCAGAACCACTTTGCTTCATGGTGGCCCCACCCCCCCACCCCCTCTCCAAGCCACCCCTGATCCAACCCTCCCTCCCGCCAGCTCCCACCTCTTGGACTCATCACCGCTTCCCCAAGTAGTGAGTTCCAGGTGGGTGAAAAAAGGGAGGCGCAAGCGCAGGCGAAAGAGGAGAAGGAGGAGAACGCGGAGTGGAAAGGAAGGGAAGGGAGGAGGCGGACGAGGAGGAGGAGCAGACGAGCGTAAGAGAGGAGCCCCCACGTCCCGCCTAGCCGCAGGCACGGCGCGGCGGCGCCTCGAAGACCGCGGATTCGTGCACCGAGGAGCCGATGTCGATAGCCGCTACTTCATTCCAGGCTGGGAGAAGAGCAAGGTGAGGGGGGGCGCAGAAGCACCAGCGGGTCGCGGGAGGGACGGACGAGGAAGAGAGATGACCCGCGGCACGACAGGTGCAGCCAGGCACACGATGCCCTGGGGACCAGGCGGGTGGAGCGACGGCCCATGACGCAGCGCAGCTGCGTGCAACGGCACAGCTTCGGCAGAGAAGCTCGAGCTGTACGGCGTCACGGGGTGGAGGAGGAGCGAGGGAGGAGCAGCAGTCGCAAGAGCAGCGGTCCGAGGAACAGGCGGAGGAAGAGGGAGAGTGTCGAGGATCGTCGATACGGATCTAGTTCCCATGTTCTGGAAGAGCGTTTCTGGAGCATGGGAGCCTTTACACGCATGTTTGTTCGCAGAATGCGTCACTTGCACGTATGCGCTCTGGAGGGCACAGACAGGTGCTCCATCTGATCGCGATAGGAGAAATCGTCACAAGCGAAACTGGGCAAAGAGGCAGCGGCAGGACTGGGCACAGGGGCATCGACAAACTCATTTTCACTCGGGCCTTCACATCCCGCCGACCTCCCAGTTGATAACTTCTGAGTTGAAGTAGGATGCGTCATAGAGATCGAAGGCTCAAGGCACGAAAGTGGGCACGTACCCTGGATTCGTTGTGGCATGGCAGTCTGACTCGACAAAAAGGATCCGCAGTGGGTCGCCAAGGGATTTGAGGAGGCAAAAGCGAGATAGACGGAGAGGAGCACAATCGCAGGGTCCTCAAAGGCGGCTGGGTTCCTTGAGAACAGGTACTCTGGCTCGCTGAGGAACGAACCAATGAGGGAACACCATGGTCCAGGGGCATCGCCATATCGTCACAGTCGGGGCGTGGCCATGGCTGTCGTAGGGGGTGATGGTGCCAACGAAGCCGACGAGACCAAAGGCGTGAGCCGCGGGGACCGAGGGGACCTGCGGTCGCCGCCTCTGAGGGTGAGCCAGTCCGCGAAGACGCCGAGGAGACCGCGGGGGTCAGGCGTGATGCTGACGAGGCAGGTGACCCCGGAGCCGTCGTCGAGGAGGACGTAGAACTCGATGAGGAGGCCCAGCCGCTCACGCTGAGACAGGCGCTGAGGAGAAGCAATCTGCATAGCGCGCACACCAGGCAAGGCACAAGCGTGCTGTTGCTCGGGTGAGAGGGGCCAATCGTCAAGTGTCCGAGCATTGTGGTAAGTGGCGTGCGCAGCCGCGAGGTAGCCAAAGGCAGGGATAGAAGGGCGAACGAGCCCCCACCGAGGGAGCACAGGTAATGGGAAGGGCCGAGCCAAGGCCGTCCGTAATACTGAGTGTAGTGAGTGGCCGACATCGGGCATCATGACGGAGTGGGTCAAGGAAAGGCCCACAACCAAACGCGCAGCATCGTATCCCAAGAACGTGAGCGATCCGAGAGGATGTCATCCACCCATTGGCCCAGATGCGTAGAGCGGCCCAAGACCACGAGCAGGGGCAGCGTGACAGGCAGCCCTGAACCGCAGCCCGGCCGATCTGCGCGATAGCAAGAGCATGTCGGGGCGGCATCTTGGACAAGCGCACCGTCAGTAGGGTAGGAAGTGGCGAAGCCGGAACTTGCCGCAGACGAAGGGCCCGGTGTGCCGCTCGTTGAGGGCGAGGGCGGCGGAGGTCAGCATCCAAGAGTTCGGCGCGGACCGTGGCAGCAGCAACGCCAGCAGAGGAGGGTCCTTCAGCGTCAGCAGCCCGAGCGAGGGGCTCCAGGACGGCCTCCGGGTCCAGAAATTCGGGCACGGCGCCTGGGAGTGCAGCACGTCCAGCGTGCGCCAGTCACCCAATGCTCGCACAAAATTGCGCAGTTCGGCAAGAATGAGTCAGAATGAGCCCATGCTCACGGAAGGTCACGATGGCAGAGCGCGCAAGCGTCGCAGTGCAAAGATGGTGCCATGCAGGAACCCGCGGGCCGCCCCAATGCTCCAGCTGCGGCCACGTATCACCACTGAAGGCGCCCAACGCAATGCGGAAGGTCTGTGCCAGCACAATCAATTCCCATTTCGCCATCGCAGGTGGTAGTCGGAGGAATTGCGCAACATACGAAAGAGTGGTGATGCCACGCCAACGGAGCTTGGCCAACTGAGAGACCCACGACGTAGTAGCCGAGACCCCAGGACCCAGCCAGGTGCCAGGGTACAGGAGCTCCGAGGAAACCAAGAAGCCAGCCCACTGCTGGACCTTACGAGCAATCGCAGCCGTCGTAGCCGCCGCAAGCTGAGGGCTGAAGGGGCCTTATAAAAGGGGGATCACGACGCACTTTGAGGGTTTGAGCGGAAGGTTGGCGATGTCGGCGGCGACGCCCATAGTAGAAGCAATAGTATGCAATAGTGGCAAGGTCGCGGATGTGAGCGATAGCGCCGCCGATATCGTCAGCACAGGTCCGACACAAGCCCTTCGTGGTGTGGTCATTGTTGTGCAAGAGGTCCCGCAAGAAGGGGGCAGAGGCGATCGCGTACAGCGTACCACTGAGACCACATCCCTGAATGATCCCACTGCGCACACAGAATATAGGACGAAACTCACCATCATGAGACGCGACCCCAAAAATCGCCGTGTAGAGGAAGCCCACAAACTGCAAGACGCCCTGAGGAACTTCAATATCCCCAAGAGTACGCAAGACAAACTGTTGGTTCAGCGAAGGGAAGGCATGGCCGAAATGCAGGGAGAGCAGGAGAGGATGAGGTGAGGTACCTGGTGGCGTGATCGAAACCTGTCGCGCCCTGGCATCGATCTCAAGGAAGTTGAGACCAACATTGCGCTTCGGCGCGAATCCTCTCTGAGACGGAGGGGCAGCAAACACCAAGACAGGAGTCAAAGCATGGTTCAACACAGAAGATAAGATCTTAACGTCCGTATTGCGGAGCCCCAAGACACGGATCTTGTCCGCGGATCGAGCGCACTCTCCCATAGCCAGTCCATTATCCGAGACATTCTTAGGAAGAAACGCTTGAAGTGTAATCGAAGCCGAGTCGAAAAGGGCTTGGCCAGAACACACCCAGTCAAGCGCCTCGTATAAGACTTGTAGGCACGAGGAGGAGGAGGAGGAAGAGGAGGAGGAGGAGTGGGATGAAGAGGAGGGGTGCAACGAGAAAGAGGGAGACATGTGCACATGCACCCTTCCTGCTCGTCCGGTTCTTAGAATGATTCGTCTTGGCTTTGGTGGCAGAGGTGCTGCTACAAGTTTCACCCCTTCCTCCTGCTCCCTCTCCTCCTCCTCCTCCTCCTCCTCCTCCTCCTCCTCCTGCTTCTCCCACGCTGTTTCCGCCACCTCCTCCTCCTCCTCCTTTTCATCCACCCCATCCTGCTCATCCAAAGGAGGGTCCTCCTCCTCCTCCTCCTCCTCCTCCTCCTCCTCATCCTCATCCTTACCATGATCATCATCATCATCATCAGCATCAGCATCATCATCATCATCATCATCATCATCATCAGCATCATCATCAACATCATCAGCATCATCATCAGCATCATCATCCTGTTCCCACCTGTTCCTCCCGCCCTTTCTCCTCAGGCGGCGCTGACGACGTCATTCCTGGTGGACTATCATCAGGTGTTTCATTGGCGAGTGGACGATTGGCCTTGCTGTCCGAAGCCTGGCCGCCTCCCTACCTCCTCCCGCCCCTTCTTCGAGGATTCAGTGCTGCTTTCGCAGTTTCTGCCTCCTCCTCGCCATCCTGCTCCGACAAGTCCAGCGGCAGTGGAAGAACACAGTGCAGCTCCCAGAGCCCGCCGCCACCGCGTCGTAGCAGTCATGGGGAAGCTGGCTCCCGATAAGCTTCACGTCGTCCCCGTGCTGCGTCTTGAAGTGGAGGCTGTGCTCCTGGGGCAACGGCGTTACAACAGATGCTGGAAGTAACACGTGTTAACATATACACGAGGGAGATAAGGATGAGGAAGAAAGAGGAGGAGGAGGAGAAGGAGGAGGAGGAGGAGGAGTCAGGATCAGTCGTCATCGGATCGAGACATCAGATCGGTTCGGAAAATGCGTCGGATCCAGATCGAGCGGCATCGGGATGGAGTCGGAGCCAGATCGGATCGGCTGCGCCCAGAGACACAACAGTGCCATGCAAACATTCGGCCACATCGGCTCGTCGGAACACCAGAACTGGCAGATGTCCTGGAAGCCAAGAAGGCGCATCAGACAACGCAGTCACAATGCAACCGGCAAGAGAGGCCGCAAGCATGCGGCAGGATACAGCAAGGGCAAATGAAATCAGAAGTCCTATCTTCCACTTTCCCCTCGCCTGTCTAGAGGAATGCAACAACTGCATACACTCCCGTTTATTGGAGGTCTGCGCGGAATTCTTGGATCGGCGCTGGATCTTCCTCCCAGGCGCGCAGGGCGCGCCAGGAGCGGCGCCAGAGGCAACGCCACAGGGGCCCGACGCCGATCCAAGAAACCCGCGCGAACCTCCGAGAAATCATGCTTATGCAGTTGTTTGCTCTTCGCCTGTCAGCGTCGAGACAGTGGAAGCCTAAAATACTCCAGACGGCGTGATGACATGGGGGGATCACAACCCTCCCAGAGGATCAATTTAGGCCCCCCAGACCGGCCATGAGATGGCGGCCTTTTGCCCAGCCCCATGGGACCCTCCAAGACAGCTCAGATCAGACCCCCAGAAATCGACAGAAAGATGACCCCCCCGTCCGTTTTAGAAGATTCGGAGTGCTTGTGCGGCGGGAGAGACTGCGGGGCTCCTCGAGCCCAGGCTGGATGCCGAACCTCAGGTCCGAGTGGGCGCTCGGCGTCGGGCCCGCGCTGTTGTAGCGGCTGCCGTGGCCACGCTCGATGGCCTCGGAGGCGCTCTGGACGCTCCCCCCCTCCTCTCAGCGTACACATGGGGGAGTGCAGAGCGGGCGGGCCTTCTCAGAAGGCTGGGAAGGCCCCGGGCCTTCGGGCAAGCTTTCTGAGACTTCTCCGAAGGCAGCGGCAGCTTCTCAAGAGGGCTTCCGAGAAGCCCCGCAGCCGTCTGAGGAGGCCTGCCCCCTCTCTCGCACCCCCCCCCCGCGCCCGCCGTCGGAAGTGGAGGCCACGGCCGGATCCTTCCGCGTCGACGTGGACGCTGGCGAAAGGAAGGAAAAACGGCACAAACATAAATCTCGGAGCTCCGCGCGGATCTCGTGGATCCGCGCTGGACCCCCTGGCGGCGTCTCCGGCGCCACCCCTGGCGTGCTCCGCGCGCCAGGGAGGGGGGGATCATCCAGCGCCGATCCAAGAAATCGGCGCGCACCTCCGAAAGCTTCTGTTTATGCCGTCTTTTCTGCAGTGGCCCAAGGACACACAAATAAATAGACACAGATCCAAGGATCCCCCATCTTTGCCATGTCTCCTGAATGCTCGCCTTCCCCTCCATTTTCTGTGTTCCATGTCTCTTCATGGAGATCGACGCTCCTCTGCGTCTGTGCTTTTGCCCGCTCCCGGTGCTCTTCTTCGATCGGCCTCTGAAGGCGCGCAGGTCGCCCAACTTCGAGCGACCTCCGCCGCCCGAGAGCGGTGGCTGTGCCAGGGTGGAGGAGGAGGAGGAGGAGGAGGAGGAGGAGGAGGAGGAGGAGGAGGAGGAGGAGGAGGAGGAGGAGGGGGAGGGGGAGGAGGAGGACGAGGACGAGGAGGAGGAGGAGGAGAAGGACGAGGGGGAAGAGGAGGAGGAGGGGGAGGAGAGGAAGAAGAATGGCCTCGGGCGGCGGCCACCCGATGGCTCCGAGAAGGTCTCGCGGGGTCTCTGGAGGCACCGGGAGACGACACGAGATGACCACCGCTGCGGGCACCAGCCGGGCCCAGCGAAGACCCGGTGGGCAAGGCCTTGGCCTCAGAAGTACGGCCTGTCTGACCACCTACCAGACAACCCCAACCCAACCCGAAGACCCGAATTTCGGGTTGGGGGGGGTATGGGTTCCATACGTGTTTTTTCGATGTTCCCCGACCCCCCCCCACTGGAAATGGAGGGCAAATTGAGGCCTTCGGGTTGGGTTGGGGTGGTTTTGTAGGTGGTGACTGTCTGGGCAGCATGCAGTGCAAGACGCATGTATAAGAAGATCATGAGGGGAGGGCGGAGGGGAGGAAGGTCCTGAAGGCCGATGCCGGCCGATA